AGAGAGAGAGAGAGAGAGAGAGAGAGAGAGAGAGAGAGAGACCAGGTGTCCATGGGTAGAAAAATTGCGCGTGAGGCGAGTAATTCATCCCCTTTGGCAATAACCCCAGCGGCAGGGCCTCCTGACAAGTGAAACGAGCATATTACTTCCGCGAAATGTATGAGCGCGGGTCGCAGATTCTAGCGGGAGTCATATTCGCTGGGACACCAATACTAATTGTCACGTCGGCGGCAACGCATAATTTTTGTGAAAATTAAAACTTTGCACAATATTTATATTACGATATCAAGATTCTTAATGGTCATTTCTCATTTGAACAAGTCGCTATGCCCTTAAATTTGTGTGAGATCATTTCTCATTAGAACAAGTCGCTATGCCCTTAAATTTGTGTGAGCTATGTCTGTGCCTCAATGGAACACTTGTTTTATTATTATTTATTTCTTGCTCCAGTATAGTGGAAATAGTTTTCACTACACAACATTTATAGTGTAGTCATAGAGAGTGTTCCAAAATTACACCTAAAACACTGAGTTCTTTGATAAATTACTCTGTACTCAATCCCTGGTTTTTTAATTACAGTCCTTGACACTAGTGACTATGCACTTGAAAAATCAAGCAGGATCAAGTACAATAGAATGGGGCCGGTACACTAAATGTACAGAGACAATTTTGTTTATTATAAGGGAACGTTTTCGTGCACATCCAAATTGGATGCAATTAATTTTGTTCCTAAAACTGGACAAACTGTGCGAATCTTCACACAATTTTTCCAGTTTCAGGGACAAAATTGCATCCTTTCCTGATGTGCACGAAAACGTTCCCCGTAGTATTAGGATCAAAATTGTCCCGCATTGTGTATGTAGCACGGAAGTGTAGCACGGTTAGTGTTTCGTTCTTGATCCAAGAACTCAGTTTCTGGGGGGGGGGTGTAGTACACTATCATAAACGTTTTCAAGCTGAACCCACCCACGGGGGGCGCGGAGCGCGGTGTGGCAGTGAAGTGCCCTGATTCTCCCTGATGCACATACGGTTAAGAGAACCCCTTTGCCGCCCTCCGGCCCCCGCGGGCCGCCGGCAGCGCGAGGAAGGGTTCGCCAGCCGGGCGCCCGCCCGGATTGGCCGCCGGGACCGAGGCGGCGAGCTCCGATTGGTCCGCGGCGAGCCTCTCCTCCCCCCTCCACCTCCCCCGCGGTGTGGGTGGGAGCAGAGGCGCGCTGCACCGCGGAAGGGAAGGGTGGCGGGAGTAGAGGGAGGAGGGAGAGCGGGGGGAGGAGATCCTCTGTATACCGCGGCTCCACGGCTCCACGGGGGCGACCCCATAACACTCAGGTTTCCACGGATGCAGGACGGACGAGCAGGACGAGGAAATGTCCCTCTTACCGTAATGAGGAGCACATTTTCCATGAACCACGATCGATAATTTGTCCCCCAGCTCCTCTTTGTCCTTGACCCTCTTCCTCGTACGTATTAGAGTATACATCTCCGGCCGTCAGCCCAGAGTCCGGGGCAAGAGGACGTGACCGTCAGCCTGGTGTTTGTGAGAGAGAGAGAGAGAGAGAGAGAGAGAGAGAGAGAGAGAGAGAGAGAGAGAGGCAGGAAGAAGGATAAAGGGAGAGGGGCTGGGGGAAGGAGAGGAGAATATTTTCCACAGATAAAACAATGTAACTGTGCAAAACGTCGCGCGTTTACGTTAAAATAATAATTGTCGTCGTGACTGTCGCCGCAACGAATATTATTGTGTCTTATTGGTGACCCACGGGTATAGCACAAGATTGTATACATATGTTTGTAAAAATAAAAATAGCAATAATATTGTGATATTTTTTGCGACAGTTAATTTTTTGCTTTTACGCCGAGGAGACAAGCAGTGTTGAGGGGGGAGGGGGGAGGCGCTGCCTGACTAATGCGTGGCTGATGCCTTTCCAACAGCTCATTAGCCACAGGTAAAGCTGACGAGTGTCCAGCCGGGGATTAGGCGGGGCTGGCAGGGCGGGGCTGGCGAGGCTGGCGGGGTGGGCGCAGATTCGAGCACGGTGTGACAACGGGGTAACTACCGTGTGACAACACGATGTGACTGCTGTGCGACCACAGAACGCCCACACCTATGTGAACTTTCAAACCCTACCGATAATATTTTTTAAACAACACTGCACCAACATGCCTGCGATGGTTTGTAGCTGTCTGGCCTGGCATCGCCAAATGGCCGAGGGGTTGACGTCGACAACTCGACTATTTAGGGTGCACGGTGCACATAGGAGTACAGTCGGAGTACACGGAAAGTACAACCAGAGAACTCACATCGTCGGTATTGAACAACCGAAGTTAGCCGGAGTACAGCAAAATTTCACCCGTAAAACGCTAGGAGTACACCCGGAGTAGGTTAAACCCCGAGTTGTCGACAGGCGCGTATTAAGGGGGGGGGGGGGGGGGGGGGGGCGACCCCCCCCCCTGTGGGCCACTAGATAGCCGCCTAAAGGTAGGCAATTTGACCTACAAAACCCCTGTATGTAGGCAACTTTCGATGCACCGCGACCGCGCACCCTGTCCGCCCCCCCTTAATACGCCACTGGTTGTCGACCTCTCGCTAACGACGCGACTATCGCCAGCTTTGGCGCGACTCCCCGCATCGGCCGGCCGGGTGGGTTGCTTCTATAAAAAGCGTATCCAGCCCCAGAGACCTGGCACACACCTAGCATTCACCGCGACCGCCCCCTGCACCGAGCAGCCCTCAGACGCCCAAACATGCGTTCCACCAAGTGCCTGGTGAGTGACACAAGTACTTCAGCAGTTTGGTGGTCATTCGGTGTCTCCGTAAGAGCAGAATGCGGGAAACGGAGACATTTCTAACGGGGCGACCGTTGGCACGCGGCCTCCTGCAGCTTGAGCTCAGAGACGTATTTTGACCTCTGTTTATCCCTCCGAAAAAGTTTTGTTAAACCGCAGTTGTCTTTGGCGTTGTTGCAGTTGCTCGCCCTGGCCGTGCTGGCCACCGTCATCGCCTATGCAGAGGGCGGACACTATATGGAGTATTGTTGTAAAGGAGTTTGGTGTGGAGAGAAGTGCAATTGTGTGGACGAGGCCGAGTGCAAGGAGTGGGACCTTGACTTCAGCGCACCGTCAGTCTGCGGAGGACCCCATGCCTGCGAGACTGAGCCAACCGAGAGTGAGCTGACCGAGAGTGAGCTGACCGAGTCGACTGACTGAAGGTGAAGGCTCATACTACTAGCACTGTGTAACACGTAATTCGGCACCACCTACTTCTCACCTATGGGACCTGCATGAAAAGGTACACAAAAGATGGAATTGGTTCCTTTCCGTATGTGTACATACGCACCCCAAAAATAAAGTGTTTTTTGTAATGAGCCAAACAGAATGCAAGAGTTGTTTTCTTTTTTTTATGTTTTCGCCCACAACACTACTTCTACATTCGTTTACCAAAAACACAATTCTGAGGAGAGCACTTAATGTGCTTTTCGGAGACGTTTTACACACGTCTATACCTTATTAGCGACCCAACAATAGCCGGGCGCGCACTAACGCCGTATATAAAAGCCCTGCTGTAAACATGTTCATCGTTTAACTTGGGGGAGGTGTGCTGGGCCGCCGAGTTGGAGGAGGATATGGGGAGAAGAGAGAGAGAGAGAGAGAGAGAGAGAGAGAGAGAGAGAGAGAGAGAGAGAGAGAGGCCTTAATGACGGTCGCAGCGACCGGGGACAATGAGACAATAAGTACTGATTAGCCAAGGGCGGCGGGGGCGGGGGCCGCTCGGCCTGCGCTGTAATCTCGTTAAAACGGCCCTGTCCCCGGAACCAGAGGGTGGGCGCGCACGGGGAGGAGGGGGGGGGGGGCAAGCCTCGGTCTTTGCCTTTTGCTTTTGCCTAGTCCCTGGAAAGGTGTATGGCGGCAGCAGCAAGGGAGAAGCGGGACTTTAGCTTAGCTCTATTTCAACGATCGTGCTTGCCTCCTTGCCCAACCTCTTTTATTTTCCTTTTCGCGTCATCATTGACATTTTATTATTCAGAGCGATGTTCAAACTTTTCTTGAGCGCTGCTGTTACATAGGCACTATGTGTTGCACTTTGACTGCCTGTAAAAACTGATAAACCCAAGAGTGCAGCCGGTATACATTTGCATGTGTGTAACTCCCACGTTGCACACCGTGCGTGAAGCGTTGCACAGAGCAATTGCTCGCATACAACTTATACACAGTAGAACAGTTTGCACAACTTAGGGTTAGGGTAGGAAGCCCTGGAAAGTTTCCGGAAAATTTCTGGAAAATTTCTGGAAAAGACGGAAAATTTCCCAGATTTGGAAAGTTTTCCGTTATTTTCCGTATACTTTCGAAAAGTTTTCGGAAATTTTCCGGAAAATTTTGGAAATTCCCAACCCTACTCAGGGTTGCACACTTACTTGGTTTATTAGTGTATGCTGCCGCATATATAGGGTTCTGACCACCAAAGTCGTTATCGTGAGCAAGTTTCTGGGGGTCGTCCTCCTTGATAACCTTCCTCACGACCCCGTTAGCGATAGCGATTCAGCGTGACCTGACCGGAACTCAGCACGCTGTGAGAATTTGTTGGCATTTTTTGGTGTCGAATTCTCTCGAACGTACGAAGCCCATATATTTTTTTTTAAATCAGGGGTTTTTTGTTGTACAGAAAATTATTAATACTAACGCATGTACACTTTAACAGGTGTGTACATGGGCATGTTACACATTAATTAAAGATACATGCCATGTGCACTTTATTTAAAGTGTGTACAATGTACACATCTGAAATGACAGAGTAATGCTGAACTTGGCGCTGACCCGTAGTTGACCCTCTCTAGCTATGGGTCATCTCCCCGCATGCGGGGCACCGCACCGGTTCAAAGAATCATGGCCGTGGCGTCATTTAAATACACTCGCGCAATTTTTAATAAAGCCGGAGAGTACGTCGTAGGGGGAAATCCATTTTCTCCAGAAATGAGTAAAAATCGCATTTTTCTGAATAAAAATCTAAAAAATGACCTTCAGTTTGTATGCGGTCTTAAATCGACATTTTAAAGCTGCAAAGTGGGGGTCAGTTTTGGATTTTTCAGAAAAAAATGCGATTTGTAGTCATTTCTTGAGAAAATGGATCTCCCCTATAGATACCGATATCAAATTGGGCACGAATTTTCATCGCCAATCATTTTGTATATGTCACCCTACACCCCTAACGTAAGGCGGAACAAAGTCGGGGACTAACACTTATGGACGAGTTCCTTTGTCAGTTTTCAGTGCAAACTCGTATGGAGAGACGAGCGGCCGGCGCCCCCTCGGGCCCTTCTCTTCTCACGAGTCTCCCCCGCTCTCTATATCCGCCTTGACCCCCGTGTGCTCATCCGTTCTCAAGCAGTAGCGCGGGCGCATGCGGTGGGGTGGGGGGCCGCGGGGGCCCAGCCCGCCACCGCCCCGCCACGCCCCGCCACGCTCCAGGGGGTCTGCTGGCCACGGGTCCATCCGGCACTATGGCCGCCCGCCTGGAGCAGCACTGCGCTCCTGGAGGAAGCGGACAAAAGAGGCAGGAAACCGCAAGGGAGGGGAAAAGGGGGGGGGGGCGCAACACCTCCTTCTCACAGCCAGCCACGCGCACGCGACCTGTGTGCGACGCGTGGAAGGTGCCAAGAAGTAAGTGTGTGTTCCACAAAACGCGCTGCCTTTACACACGCGCTTCTGACCTGATAGAGCAATCGATTAAAACGATACATCGATTTCAATATATTGAAAAACACGATATCGATCACCGGGGCATCCGTACACGGGAAACAAAAAAAGAATTACTTGCTAGAACTGATTAGCTAATTTTGGTACATTCAAGAAATTAGCTGTAGCAGCTAATAATAATTGGTTGCCAAAGAAAAGACTTATAGAATAGACAGAGACGAGGCTTAGTTTCGCTGTGTCACCTATGGTCATCTGGCAACGAATATGACCGATTATTAGCTGCTACAGTGAATTTCATACTGGCTACGTATCCCTAACTTAGCTACACGGCGTCCTGGTTTTCATGACGTTTTGGAAAAACCATGACGTCTTATGGAAGTAATGCATGGGAAACGTCATGGTTTTCCAAACGTCATGAAAACCAGGACGTCGTTTTTACCGTGTATAATTTCACTGAAAACTGCGTTATGACGCATGTCGATCTCTAGATGATAACGCGGTACACATTTCAGTTTTTGTGGAATATTTTCTAAACGAGCAGCCCTGGAATTCAAAAAGCTCCATTCAATTTCCCGTAAAATTTCCGATCAAACGAGTCTACATGAGATAGGGTTCTGAACAAAGGTTTTCTAAGAACACGTCCTATTTCGTGTTATTATTTGAACTCCGAACCCTATCACGCGCCATTCTTAATTCCCTATAATATAATAATTATTTCCCGTGCTCGCCCCCGCGCCGCGCCCTTTGAGCCACCGCGTGCAATTACCTGATCGCTTCTGATCTCCCAGCCAAGAGGTGCGCGCGGCATAGGACGCCACCGAGGCCCTCAGGAGGAGGAAGGTGCAGATAGGAGATCCTGGAGCAGCAAAGGGAGCTCGAGCAGCTCATGGAGTAGAACTATAATGGAGAAGCAACTAAGTACGTTGAAATGTGTGCCGCGCTGGCTGGCGAAGCTATCTCCTCTGAAGCCATTGTGCTTAAAAATCTCACCTACTCAGTTTTTGGAAGCCTATGGTCTACTGCAGCTACTGATGCCATTGTTTTGAGTGAAGCATCATTCAAACTGGAGCTACGACGCCTGAAACGTCGCAAATCGGTTTTCGGCGACGTGCCACCCGTGTATGTAGAGAGAGACAGACAGAGTGAGGGTCATATTTTTTCAAATAGGGCTACTGAATTAAAAGTTTTTACTTCAAATTCTTCTTTTTGTACACAACCGTGAAGACCCTGAACGCTACAGAGTCAAACGGTTATTATTTCATGGACATTCATGACCCTGGCTCGTCTGTCTCTCTCTACATACACGGGTGGCACATGGCCGAAAACGGATCTGCGGCGTTCCAGGCGTCGTAGCTCGTGTTTGAATGATGCTACACTCAAAACAAGGGCATCATTAGCTGCAGTAGACCATAGGCTTCCAAAAACTGAGTGGGTGAGATTTCTACGCACATTGGCTTCAGAGGAGATAGCTTCGCCAGCCAGCGTGGCACACATTTCAACGTACATAGTTGCTACTCCATTATAGTTCTACTCCATGAGCAGCTACACCACCGGATCATGACGCACCAAGCGTTTGGGTGGGGAGGAAAATAATCTCTTGGCTTTAATTATTACAACAACTAAACAAGTATTTTTAATAACTAACTTGATTATTTGTTTTTCGCTTCGAAACCGTTCTGAACTTGTTTTAGCGTATAGTTTTGAATTTTTATTTTGTATAAGAAATTGAGATAAATTTGTACAAAAACGCAATAACGAGTTGTTTGTACGAAAACGTTATTCCACGACCGTTTTGTTTTTCCTAACACCTTCGTGTGCCACAGTACACACACACACGCACCGTGCCGGATTTATCGCGACATGTTTTGCCTTCGCCTGTCGCACTGCAACGTTGTTATACTTGATAGACTTGGGACGTTTGTAAGGTTGTCGAGGGTTAACCTCCCAATTCATTTGGTTCCTTCTCCGACCGGCCCACGCATTCTCCCCCAAAACGATTGCTGGCTGGCTTTCTGCTATATGGCTTTCAATTGCCGTTTGCTCCAGCGGATAGCGGGGATGAAGGGGGGAGGAGGGGGGGCGAGAGGGCGTGGCGGCTCTGCGGGAAGGGAGGGAGGATGGAAGAGGGGGAGGGGGGGGGGGATGCTCAGCGGGATACTACAACAGGAGGGGGAGGAGACTCGTGGACCGTGAAAAGACACCCAAGATGAGCAAGCAGGGGCAAACATCAGTGGCAAAAGGGGGGAAATGGAGAGAAAGGGGACCCGCGAGGGGAGGAGAGGAAGGAGGGGGGGGGGGGATTCAGAGGCATATGTATATCCCATTGTTGTGGTCATCATCAGATTGGGGAAGGCGTTGTACTGTGGACAGAACGAATTATGCGAATAATAGTGCGCGTGTGTGTGTGCGTGTTTACTGAATTACCCGCAGACCACGCGCACAGACTGCTTCTTGTCAAAGCGGACCAGGACGAACTGTCGACGCCCTCTTCGGCTTATATAGCGGGGCAAGAAGGGCCATGGCACTTCACCGAAACCCTGTTGTTGTTGTTGTTGCACACTAAGACCCTTGTGTGAATTCTACAGACGCAGTACGCGCCTTTTTCTATTTGATTTTTTAAGTAGAAAACGTGTACCAGACGGAAATAATGTATTTTCTACATCACTTCTTCTTACGTGCACAGAGTTCTGCAGTCAGTGGCAGTGCGCAGTAGCCAAGCGCGGTTTTGGGGTTCTGCTGACAGCGGGTTATGCCTGCATACATGAAGTTTTGTAGGGGAGTTTGCGACAGTGTGTGGAGTAATAATAATTATCGCTGTTTGTTTAAACAACACCACACGGAATGCGATGATTAATTGTGTGTGCAGTGTGTGTGGTAATCCTGTTGGCAGACGGACACGGATCCCCAGATCCCCACCGCGTCCCGGTAGCCCAGACCTGTCTCACTGTCTCTCACGTGTATAAGAGTGAGTGCGCTGAGGCATGAGACAGGAGGGCCTCTCCCGGGCGGGGCGGGGGGACTCCAACCGGGCCGAAGCCAGAGCAGGCCGAGGAGCAGCAAGCTCAACACAGTTCGGCGGCTTTAACATGTGTCTCATACCGCAAGACGCGGTGGTGACTCACAAAACACTCGGCCTGCCCGGGGGCCAGAGGCTGCTAGAGAGACCGGATAAGCTCGTGATTACAACCGAACAGGCTCGACTACTTCATGTGTGCTCCATGTCTCGGAAATCTAAAAAAAAAAACAAAAAAACAACACCTCACACACACACAGGATGAGCGTCACTTTTTCTGGAATCGAACAAAAAGGAAGTAGTCAGACAGAGGAAAAAGTGTAGTACAGGGTTGGAAGCCCTGGAAAGTTTCCGGAAAATTTCAAAGAAAAAAAACAACAGAAAATTTCCGGGAAAAGTTGAACATTGTCACAGAAATTCGGAGGTTTTTAGTTATTTTCCAGAAATTTTCCGAAATTTTCAACCTTGAAAGTGTATACAGGGACGAAATAGAAGTACTTTCTTATGCAGAATTGCGAGCACAAGTGTACAGAAGTATTAAACGTGGAGACAAATTTTTTGCTATAGTGTTACAGAGATCCTGCTTACATTTTGAGGGGGGGAAACAGCAAACTGAACGCAAAAGGAGCAGCGGTGGTATAGGTCAATCAATTTATTACGCACTCATCGAGAATTTAGCACGCTACAGACGGAAACTGCGTCAACACAGCACGCCCCACCGCGTTGTGTATAGTGAGGCAAATCGATATATGTATTCGGAAAATACATTGTGCAGCAGCCCCTTAGCTATGTGACCAATCACGACTAACCGCAAAAACGCGACAACATCGAAACAACGTCCAAAAAGGACAAAAAATATACGTCGTTACGATTATCGTTTCCGCACATCATCGTTTCCCCTACATATATTGAGTAGCGCGGAGGTCAAGTATATATTACCAGTTTGGAGGGGTGTTTCTCGTCGGAGCCAACTCTACGATAATAAGTCACGCCGATGAAAATATATGAGGTGGCCCTTTCTGCTCCGGTCAGAGGCTCGAGTGCACACTAAGTGGCCGCACGCTGGTAACTCAAATCCCCTCTGGTGGCGACATGCTGTACTGAGTTACACTTCTTCGCCACGCTTCTTCCGGCCATGCGCTGTGAATCTCTCTCTCTCTCTCTCTCTCTCTCTCTCTCTCTCTCTCTCTCTCTCTCTCTCTCTCTCTCTCTCTCTCTCTCTCGTCCGAACAACTCTTGAGGGGCTTTGCTCGCCATACCCGGGTGGAAGGATCTTCACTTACTCTCTAGGATGTTTCTGTGTTTTAAATGTACCAATAACAGTAGTTAAACATGTGAAAAAGGAGAGAGTAAAGTGTGTTTAAACCAGAATTAAACTGAAGAATTTTGCAGTATTAGTGATGTCTAAGTATAGAATTTACTACTTTTAGTACGGAAAAACTATAGAAAAACTACTGATTTTTCGGACTACTATAGTTTATCTACAGTTTATTTCTAGTTTTATCTGACGAAACGCTGTAGTAGCAAATATTCAAAAAGTATAGTGTTAAAAATGTTGTTCATTTTTTTTTTTTGAACTTTTTTTTTATTTACCTGATTAGCTTCTTACCATGTATTATATTTCATATTAGTTATTACACTTTACCTTACGAACGGTGAAGTCGAAGCCCGGCCGCTGACTGGAGTTGAACCTCAGACTTTGGAGCTGGGATCCTGACACGCTGACCACTGAGCCACTGCGACGCCATAGCTCTGATGCCTCAGTATCGTGGTGTCATGCCGAGGGTCTCAGCCCGCCCAGCTACAGGTCCAACTACAGTTTAACTACAGTTTCTTTGTCATTCAACTGTAGCAACTACTGGGTTCCGTAGTTTTGCGCGTATTTTCCCCTTGTTCCATCCATCTCATGAATAACTAAACTTTGTAATGATAAATGAAGTATGTGCAACTGGCGTGCGCGTGCAAGTGCTCAACACAAGGTTGTGCACTCTTAAGTGTTCGACTGCATATTTGAATACTAAAAGTGTTTAACATTAAAGTTAAACACTTTCGCTTTGGATACGTTAAAATGTTCAAATTTTCTGTTGAATACTTCTTGGAAGTTTACAAATTCCCAGTCAAACACCTAATACCTTGCACCATGTTGAACACTACCCGAGACACTACCAAGTATGCCAGTTGCACACTTTTGTTTTCAGAAAGAACCTGGATCCTTAACAGTAGATTTTTCAAATCCCAAACGTATAACGGAACCCACACAACGCTAAAGTAATCTAATGTGAAAATAACAAGTAAATTCACCAAATTTTAGTCTAGCATTATAAAGTTCTCACCTATACTTCTCGTGTTCATATATGTTAATGTAATCAACAATTTCAACTGTGAGTAGTACCTTAGGTCTTAACATAAGTACACTTAGCAGCGGCTAGTATAGCTATACTGTAAAAATAGTAACACACTGACAGCGCAGAATTACTCGTCCCGATATCTCTGTTTAGAATGTTATTCCAGCGTATTAACTGTGTAATTTAGAATACACTTTTACTCAGTAGTTAAACAACGGATGGATACTTGTTTGTATAATGTCTTTTAACTAAATTCGCAAGTGCAAATTGGAACTTTAGTATGTAACAACATAAAAAGTGCAGTCTGACTGCAGACTAACTGTTTACAAAAGCCCAATACTGCAGTCGTGAATAAACTACAGAAATTACCGACTTTTTTCTACAGTTTAAATGGAGTTTGATGTCTTCAGATTCAACACTACAGTTTGAACTATAGTCTAAGTGAAGATCCTTCCACCCGGGTATCGCCGCCCCTTCGGGTGATCTGCGCCGTAAGATAACTCCATATAGGACGAGTGTTGCGCGTCGTCCAGCCACGCCACGAGTCTGCCTGCAAACAACACACAGTCTTATTGTAATATCCGTGCACGGCCCCGTTACCAAAGTTAACATCGGAAAAGCGAAGGGCAGCAGGACTCAGCAGTGTGCAAAAAAAAAAAAATGTTTTGTCGCACACCTGCAGGCGTGTGAATCCTCTCACTCACCTGCAGGTGAGCGACATATGGTCGCGTACGCTTCAGGTCGCGCACCTGATGTGCTCATGTTCCGGTCACACACTGTGTTCCGCAGTGCAGCTGCGCAGTCAGTGCAGCGCCCTGGACACGCCGTGCAGCGCCCGCTTGAGCTTGTCGCTCATCTTGTGCTCGCCGTGGTCCACGCACGTGATGGCGCGCACGAGCGCGGCCCGCATGCTCTCCGCGGTGTGCTTGTTGGGGCCTGGGGCACCGGCGCGGCGCCCGCCCGCGCGCCCGCGCCCCCGCGGCACCGGGCTCGTTGTCGTCATGGACCTTTTGCGGTCAGCCTCTGCCAGGTGGAAAAAAAATCAAAACGGTGTCATGTTAACCTACTAGGGCTATTTTTTTTTTTAGAAATTTCCAGAAATTTCCGGAAAATTTCTGAGAAAAACAGAAATTTTTTCCGGGTCTGTACATTTTTTTCCGGAAACATTCCAGGGCTTTGAACCCTACACCATACTAAAAGAATTTACCTAAAAATTGAAATATTGCCATTAGGATACGTACTCCTGCGAGCTGCCTTGTCCACCAGGCTGGCGGCTGGCGCGGCGGCTGGGCCGACGGCGACCTGACTGGCGGTGGGGTCGGGGCTCGGCCACCTGTACAGCGTGACGGTGCCGCCAGGCGTGGTCACGGTGGCCTGCACCGGCTGCACCAGCCCGTCGTGCGCGTCATCCGCCTCGGCGCCGCACTCCAGGATGATGGGCTTCTGCAGCAGGTCGCGGAGGATGCCGTCGTCGCCCTGGTCCGGGGCCGCGCTGCCCCGGCGCTGCATGAGCCGCGAGTACAGCGTGTCCGGGCGGTGCGCGCCCAGGTGCCAGGTGTAGCACGGCAGGTGGCGGCAGCTGACGTCGCCGCACACGGGGACCCTGACGAGACCCGGGTACCCGGAGCAAGGGAGGCCGCCCCAGTCGGGCCGGCTCAGGCGGCGGGGCGTCGGGTAGAGGACGCCGCCGCGGAGGCCTCCGGGCACCGCCGCCGCGGCCGCGACCTGGTCGCGCCGCTCCCGCGGCCGCCGGGCCGCCGTCAGCGCCAGCACCTCGAGCAGCACGTCGGGGACGAACAGGTCCCGGTCGCCGTCGTGAGGATCGCAGCAGTCACACATTGTAGGGCACGAGGCGCACCGTGAAAGTCGAGCCTATATGTGCGACACCGAAAACATCATCATCAAAAACAGCAAAGCGAGCAGTAAGAACCACGTGCACTATAAGTAAACTGCTAAAGTTACCGGATCTCACAGAGTTCCATCTCGCGGCTTCGTCATCATATCAGACAAAAAATTAGAAATAGTGGACTATATTTTTTAAAGATACATCATCTTATTATTCTACCAAAGCATCCTCTGTGATTCAAATAAAATATTCTGTTGCATCTTTAAGCATCAATTATTATCATAACTAAGCATATCCTTTCCGATTCATTCCCGGCCGTTTTTTGAAAGAAAAAGTTGTCGTGATGGTCGCCAAATAATTTGAAATCAAACGAAAAGTGTCTGCTGTACCTGGGTTTCTCTAAGAGCGGTCAAATGGCGTTGTGTCGTGTGGCCATGCGTGGATGCTTGCAGTGTTGGGTTGGGCTGCGCAGCAGAGTGTGCGCATGAGAGGACGGTCGGCGTGGGAGTGCTGTGGTCGCGGGCGGTCCTCTCGCGAGGCCACGACGGCGGGGCGCGCGCCCGCGACGCCTCGGAAGTTGCCTGCCGCAATAATCTTATCAGCCAGGCGATACGACACTGCCGCAGCGTGATCGTGAGTGTAATACATATTTATATACCACCACAAGTGTGGCGTCGCACCGGACGAAAGACGTGGCGGGACCAAAACGGTTCGTAACCCTGAACTCAGCGCTGTATGCTCAAAATAGTTACGGTCCGAACCTCATCACACCTTATCACACACCTTATCAAACATCATCAAACATCAAAAGTGATAACCTTATCAAACCTCAAACCTCATGGCATCAAGCATCATCAGACCTTATCCTACCTCACCAAACATTATCAAACGCCGTCAAATATGATCAAACATCATTGAAAATCATCAAAAAACCTCATCCAAACATCATCAAGCATCTTCATGTCAGCATAAAATCGGCGACAACTTCCCCGACAACTTTCCTACTTTCCTTTAAAAGGTTTTAGAGGGGTGTCGGCCACTTGTCAGTCCGTTGTCGGCGAAAAAACGCATTTCTGGGCTATGACAAACGCGACTCACAGGTGAACGCGCACAGTCAAAAAGCCAGTACTTTATGTAATACAGATTTAGGTTGCCTTGGGTGGTGTCGACGCAATAACGTGTAGTCTGAATAGTAGCAGTTCTGCGTTATACAAACACTTAGGGTTAAAAATTTCCAAAATTATCCGGAAGTTTTCCGGAAACTAACGGAAAACTGTCTGGGAAATTTTCCATGTTCCCCGAAAATTTTCCGTTTTTCCTCGAAATTTTCCGGAAACTTTCCAGGGCTTCCAACCATACAAATACTCCAACAGCTATGTGGTAATGACCAGAGAAGGTAATGACGGCGGTAAGGCTGTTCGGGCTCCTGCCGCTGACACGCCGCGGTCCGCATGTCCGTCCGTCAGGACCGTTGTCAGCGCGGCCCAGGCGCGGCCCGGCGCGGGACCCCTAAACGGACGCCAAAGCATCAGCGGGGGATAATCCGTAAGTCAGCCGCGCGCGGGTTACATGAGGGCATCGTCGCGGTGGTCTCTCTCTCTCTCTCTCTCTCTCTCTCTCTCCCCACACCGTGCCGGCCGAGTCTTAATTAAAAACCCAGATGAGCGTCGTTGTGTCGGGCGGGGCGGGCGCGCACGGGTTGATCTGCCATGTAGCAGGGAGCGAACAGCTTGTTGTGTGCAGCCGGGCGGCGCTAAGTCGAGCAGGGGGTGCGGCGGGGCGGGGCGGGGTGCGGCGGGGTGCGGCGGGGTGCGGCGGGGTGCGGCGGGGATGGTCATGATACCCCCCACCCTGCTGCTGGAGGATCCACCGCCGCGCGCTCGCTCGCTCGCTCAAGTGGCGCGGCGCGCGGTCGAAAAGTCGTATGGCGTGGCGTGGCGTGCCGCGGGGGGACGCTTGTTGCCGAATATAATGCCGAGGGCGAATTACACACACACACACACACACACACACACACACACACACACACACACACACACACACACCACGCTCGTCTGATCCGTCTCGGCGACATCCTCCCCATCTCTCTCTCTCTCTCTCCCTCTCTCTCTCTCTCTCTCTCTCGCTCTCTCTCTTCTCCACCCCCTTCCCGTGCCTCCCTCTCATAGCCCCCACGACAGCCGCGCGCCGCTCGCCGCGCGACAAAGTAAACTATACAATAGGCTTGTCCAATAAAACGGAGATAGAGAATGTCCTCTGTAATTACAGTTTGACAAGTTGTCGGGTGGCGGCCGCCTCCTCGGGGGCCTCGTCATCATCACGACGACCGACCCGCGACCATCATCGGGAAGCTGCTATTGCGATATTGAAAGTCACATTAGGGATGGAGAGGCTGTGAACGCGGCGCCCGCCGTCCGCGAACACACACTAGGAGCACATGATTTCAAAAAGAGGGGTGCTCAGTTAGTGTCAGCCCGACTGATGAGCATGGCACCCCCCGCACTAACAGTAACAGCCACACCCAGAAAAATAGTTTCTTGATTCAAGTGCAAGCTGACACAAGATGAAATTCACCATTGAAACAAGGCACTTTTTTGTCTTTGGAATAAGATTTTTCTCTTATTCGAAAGACAGTATGAGCTTGTTTCAAGAGTAAATTTGATCTTGTCAGCGTGCACTTGAAACAAGGAACAATTTTACTTCAAACAAGAAACGATGTTTCTGGGTGCAACTTACTTACGTCATTGTTAGAAATTTTGTGAAATAAACAAATCTAGAAAAAGTTACAATGCATACATGTAGTAGGCAGAATCTATACCGCTAAAACTGTCATGATGAAAATTCAACAACGCTGTGTGTTGACGTTGAGTGAGTCAGGAGTGTGCAACTGGGTGAGCGAGTGAGTGTGCTATGCGAGTGATTTCCGGGGGGCCTGTGTGAATGGGGAGTGTGCGATATGTATCGAGAGCTCTGCGCTTAACACACGACATCTTGTCAGTGAGGTTTTAGCGCAAGGGGGAAAGGGGGGGGGGGCAGACGGACGCACGATGGACTGGCAAATTGGATTTCATTGTGCGCTTTGCCTCTGCTGTTGTTGTTGTTATTGCAAGCCTATACTCTGCCTTGACGCCCTCTGCACAACTATACAGTAGCATAGCGCTTCATACACAAAGCTGCAACGAACTGCTGCTGCGGTGTTGTATACTTGGTTGAGCCTTCTTCACAAACCTCCTTGTGGATAGTATGGTGGTCAGCACGGCACGAAGTCTTTTCTCCTGCCCCTCCCCCCCTCTCTCCTCTCTCTCTCTCTCTCTCTCTCTCTCTCTCTCTCTCTCTCTCTCTCACACACACACACACACACACACACGTTACATGTCGCTCCCAATGAGATTATCCCGACTCCACTCCAGGTGGATATCAAAGCGTCAGTCGCTATTTGCTTGTGACACACTGTTCACACACTGTTAAAAATTTTGTTGTAAATTTACAACACATTTGATGTAAAGTTTGATAGCAACAAATGTTGTTAAAAAACAACACATGTTGTAATCCAACAACATTCACCAAATTTCCTGAAACGAATTTTCATTCCAAAACAGTGGTCATTTACTTTCGTCTGCACCAAAAAAATTGTAATAAAACAAACTTGTTTGTTCTGTAACGATACATCTTGCTATCAAACTTTACAACGATATTGTTGTGGTTTTACAACATGGTGAAACGTGGGAATCATTGTTATGGACCACTGCGGGCAAAATAGAAGGAATTTTGCCACGTGCCAATAAAAACGAACGATGTTGTTTTTTTAACACACTAGTCATTACAAAGGGTGTGATAAATTTACAATTTTTTTTAACAGTGCACTGAGTAGACACAACACCCCTCCCACGACCCTCACACACGCACACATACACGCGCGCGCGGTAGCCTACAGAAACATTCAACCGCCTGAGGGCTTCTTGTAAGCTCAAGCCTTCCAGTCGCCAACTCCATGGTTGGAGTTCAAAATTTCCAAAATTGTCCGGAAGGCAACGGGAAACTATTGAAGTCTGGAAAATGTTTTATGTTTTCCCGAGCATGTACCTTTTTTCCCGAAATTTTTCTGAAAAATTTCGGGAAACTTTCCAGGACTTTCAACACTATCCATGGTTTTCGGTTGGTGGTTGTCCCGGGTTTAATGGAGCAGCAAGTCCTTTTGGAAAAGGGGGGGGGGGGAGATCAGCGCGGGTGGACGGCTATGTTTAGAGGACGCCTTATAAGAAAAGTATGTCCGTTGTGGACATTTGTACCCCCGCACTAACGACACCGATAGGTTTTGTTCATGTTATTTTATTTTTCCGGTAGTAACAAGAACAATAAGGAGATCAAGCTCAACCCTGGAGCTTCTTGTTGACGAACTCCACGGCCTTGTTAAAGTAGATGCCGGCCTCCTTCTTGAGGGCGGCGACCACCAGGGGCGCCTTCTGCTGCCACTGGGCGCCGAACTTGGCCTTGGCCGCCCGAATCTTAGGCACCACGCTGGCCTTCCACGCCTCCTGCGAAACAAACGACATATTGCTCACATTAGCTCAACCCGGGGGGTACAATGTACAAATATAATGGGGTCACTGGATCAGGGACATGATTGGGGTCCATAGAGACCCCACGATATTTGTACCCTGGGATAAAAATATTGTGGGGTCACAAAAAGATCAGGGGCATCATTGGAGTCCACAGAGACTCCAAGATATTTGTACCCTGGGGTACAAATATTATAGGATCCTACGGAAATTGATGATGGATGATGGGTCCCATTTGGAACCCCGTACTAATTACAGCCCTCCTGATAGTCACGTAGTATTGGAATGACAGCCAACAGGGTGCGACAACTATTCGACGGGTTCTCGCTACGGTATACTCACAGCGAGCTTGGCCTTCTCCTGGTGGCCCCACTGCTTGAGCTGCGCACCCTTCTGGTGCACCCACTCCCTCATATGGTGGCCGTCGTGGCCCGGTGGGGGTGGGTTGTTGGGTTCTGCTGTCGCAGTCGCAGCCTGCATGGCGACCGAAAAGAGTTTTGAACAGGTTGCAAGGGAAAATAATAATAATTAAAATAAGACATGTAAGAATTGTGATTTGAAATTATGGCAACATTACAGTACAAAATGACAAATAAACTATGCATCGATCCTCTGCTAATCTTAGTGTGTAGTAGTTTGCCACTTTAAACTGCGGAACTAAAAGTTTGCCAGTTTCAACTGCAGAGCTAACTATAGAACTCTTTGGTTCTGCACCAATAACTTGGTTGTTCTACAGTTGGAACTGTAGAACAAAATAGTTCTACAGTTACAACTGGCGAACTAAAAAGTTTTGCAGTTACAACTATGGCGAACTTTTAGCTCTGCTGTTTAAACTGGCAAACTACTGCACACTGTAAAAAAAATTCTGAAAATTCAGTAGATGCTTTTCAGAATCGCCACTCTGAATCTTGTTTTCAGACCACTACTCAAAATTTTCTAAGTTTAGACTGAAAATCCAGACTTTTTACTCTGAATCAGGTTTTTAGAGCAATGTGTCTAAATATTTAAAAGTATATTTTCAGACTAAACACTGAATCTATAATTCAGAGTTACCGGTATGAATTTTGAGTGGAAAGTCCACCGGACGGGCGGACGAATCACACCAGTAGCCGACGCTGATCCCCACGCAGGTAGCCGGCAGCCGAATGGTTAAGGATGCGGCTTCCGAACCTGAAGGTTGGCGGTTCGATCCCAACCAAGGGCAGTACCGAACGGACAGAAATGTCTTCAACTGGGCATTGCCTTCCACCCCCACAACTGTTAAGTCGCTCGCTATGTGTTCATTTTTAACATTTTCAAAAAAAATAAAAATTCATACCAGCTGTCTGAATTTTCAGACTAAGTGGTACGGTAAGGCACTACTAAAATTTCAGACCTGGGTGCAGTCTGAATTTTCAGACTACTGGTCTGTAAAAAAACTTCAGACTAAAAGTACTGAAAATTCAGTAAAACTTTTTTTACAGTGCACAATAAGATTAGCAGAGGACTTGGTTTTCCTTCCTCGAGTGAAAGCCGTAAATTTATATCAGCAATGGTGGGTTATCATCAACCATGTTTAAAAATCGATCATTCTCAAAAATAAAAAAACAAATTTACGATAAGTATTTTGTTTACAGGGCTTACCACGACAACGGCGAAAAGGGCGAGGAGTGCAAAGCTGAGGCGGGCCATCTTGTTACTGAAGGTAGCGAGCTGGTATGACACAAAAGGACAGAGGGCGCTGTTATATACCGCGGCCTCCGTGACACATAAACGAGGATATACGGTCACCGGGACACGACAAACGTGGTGTGACCTGCGTGCTGATAAACAAAACTACGACCGTTATTGCGAAGCAATAAAAGAAACTAGGCGAAATACTAGTCAAATATACACTGTAAACAGTCGGCCATGCACACGCAAGGGAGAGGAGTGTGCCAGCATGAACGCACTAGCAAGTGTTTTTCCTCCGGGTCGACTGTTAGGGATCTAGGGATCTAGGGATCATACTACGTGATCGATTTTGGCAATTTCCTTTCGCGCTAACACATGCACGAAAGCTATTCGACCAGGTCGGTCCCTCCTCAGCCGTCGCCACCGCCCCACAGCGCACCGCTGCGTAGGATGGGTGGCCTGCCCAGCAGGCGTTTGGACAAGTAGTAGTGATGTGACACACGGGCATGTGCGCGAAACGTACGTCACACAAGAAGAAGCGTGGCATTGAGATTTGAAGGCCGGAAAAAAAAACAAAGAAAGTTGCGGAAAATAGAAAATACCAGGGAAAATAACTTCTTCTTTTTTTTAATTTTTTACGGACAATTTTCGTGTTGTTTTTTTTTTCGGAAAATTTTAACTTTCCGAAAAATTAAAATCTCTACGTGGTGTGAATGTTTATTCATTTCCGATCAGACTATAGTTGTGTCGATATCTTTTTAAAGATAAAAGACGCGAACGAGCGGAAGTGTAGGCGAGAACTATGAAACTTAATTTGTTTCGAGGAATTTGCGTCTAGTCATGAGGCGAGTGATGTCCAATCTGAAGGCGTATTGGTATATCTAGTTAAGGAAGGGACGACCAGGAGGCGCCCCCCCAAACAGTAAAAACAGGCCCGAGGATTCCCAGGTGTTTTCCGCGTTTTCCAGGGGAATTGGAAAGTTCCAGGGGATGTCATTGCATTTTGCATTTTCGCCAGGGGATGTCCTGGGTTTCCCAGTACGACGTGTGCCTGCAACAACATCTTTTCTCGAAAATGTGTCGTCATTCCCCCTCTCTGCCTCTCACCTCGCGCCGTCAGGTGAGAGAGGTGGTGAGGGGTCGTGACGTCACATTTTCAAAATAGGATGTTGTTGCAGGCACACGTCGAGTCGGTCTCCTGAGAATAATTGCTTCTTTCCGGGGCATCCCCTGGGGTTCCGACTCTCCTGGGGATCCAAGGACTCGTTTTAACCGTGCCCCTCCCGGCTGATTCTTAACTGAACTGAATACAACACACATCCTTATGGCCTATCTCTAGGAAGCGGGGCTTTCATCTCTGGTGGGGTAAGAGGAAGCCTTTGACGCCATCGTGCTGCTCATGGACAGGGCGACACTTGTTTTGCATTTTCACGACATGGGCGGCCTTACACATTTGCAAGGCGATATTACGGTGCAGCGGGGCAAGGTGTGCCGCGAAAGGACGGCGCACAACACAACGCTCTCCGCCATGCTGCGCACCGCGAGCAGCATCGTCCTGCGGCTGCGGCCCGCGCCGGCCGCGGGAGGCCCAGCGGCAGCGCCCATGAGCATGTGAGTATGGGACCGATCAGGTGGAGTACAAGTATAACATATGGCCTCCCATTAGGTTCAAGACCGAACAATTGGGGCACATAGAGACCGCATGATGTTGTCACCCCGGGGTACAAATCACATGGCCCCCCATTAGATTCAAGGCTGAAACACAGGAGCGCATAGAGACCCCGTGATATTTTTACCCCGGGGTACAAATATCATGGGGCCCTGTATGGGGGCCCTCTACTCCAATAGTGATTGTGAACCTAATGGGGACCATGATATTTGTACCCCACCTCCTCTTTATCAACGGATCGGTCCCCTCCTTTGATGGATGTCTCTATGATGACCGACATTTCGTGGGTATAAGTAACCCAGGCTGCTTAAATCATTTCATATTTGTTCACAAAACGGTGCAAAAGGGTTCAGTGTGTGCGCTATATATAATGGGGTTATTAATTAGTATATGCATCGCATAGCGCACACACTTGGGCTTCCAGAGTTAGTTACTGAAGCAGTGTGGGCGCAGGCTGGCGCCGAGCCCGCTGAGACTGCAGCAGCTGCAGGACATCAAGACCCTGGACGACTTCTTCCCCAAGGTGGTGGCTCAGCTGCAGGAAGAGTCCGTCGTGTGCGGCATCCCCAGCGAGACGGAATGGCTGGCCAAAGTACGTTATAGCATGAAGTATTGCTATAATGGAGTAGGTACTAAGTACGTCGAAATGTGCGCCGCACTGGCTGGCGAAGCTATCTCCTCTGAAGCCAGTGTGCTGAGGAATCTCACGAAGTAAGTTTTTGACTGCCTATGGTCTACTGCAACTAATGATGCCCTTGTTTTGAGTGTAGCATCATTTAACCTGGAGCTACGCCGCCTCAAACGCCGCAAATCCGTTTTCCGCTATGTGCACCCCGTGTTTGTAGAGAGAGATAGACAGAGTGAGCGTCGTAAATGTCCATGAAATAATGACCGTTTTGGACTGAGACGTTCAGGGGCTTAGCGGTTGTGTACAAAAAGTAGAATTTGAAGTTAAGACTTATAATCCAGAGGCCCCTTTCGAAGAAACACGACCCTCACTCTGTCTATCTCTCTCTACAAACACGGGGTGCACATGGCGGAAAACGGATTTGCAGCGTTTGAGGCGGCGTAGCTCCAGTTTAAATGATGCTACACTCAAAACAAGGGCATCATTAGTTGCAGTAGACCATAGGCAGTCAAAAACTTACTTCGTGAGATTCCTCAGCACACTGGCTTCAGAGGAGATAGCTTCGCCAGCCAGCGCGGCGCACATTTCGACGTACTTAGTACCTACTCCATTATAGCAATACTTCATGGTTATAGTCCTGTGTTACACGATGACAGTTTCAGCTGCCAAACATTTTTGAACGACAGATTTAAAAAAAGTCAATTTTACATTATAAAGCTGCAAACTGGGACATGATGTACCGTACGATTTTGACGACCTACACGCTGTTTCCTCCGCAGCTGCTCCACCACACCGTGCCGGGGGGCAAGATGGTTCGGGCGCTGGCCACGTACAACGGCATGCGAGAGCTCGGCGCGGGCCACCTCACCGACGCCCACCTGGTGAAAGCCATGAGCCTCGCCTGGAGCGTGGAGATGGTACGCAGTCTCGTCACATTAATTTGGTGTCAGCTCGAGCACTGAGAGGAGATATTAGTCCGTATGACTAAATTCGAGTTGAAGGAAACAAAATTTACTCCCTAAATCCAACAAAACGTTTAATCAAGCTTTTACAATTAAATTTAATCAGCCCAACCAAAAGTATTGTCAAACTGATTACTTTATATCGACCTGACTAAATTATCCAATCAACACGATTGAACTTTAGTCGACGGAAACAAAATTTCGTTGGTTTTCTCAGCACTAAATTTCGTTGAGTTGAACAATCGGTTTTCTGAGTGAGGGGCACTCTACTCACTAAACAGGCCAGAGAGTAAGCCCTCCAAAACAAATCAGAAAAAAAACTCAGAAAGATGAGATAAAGCCAAGGAAAAATAAATATCAGATTTAACAAAAATATAAATAAAACTAAAGAATAAAAATTAGTAGGTGTGCGCTTGAATTTACAGTGCAGTATTAAGTCAGAACAACTCTTACGTCAAGGAGTCCACCCTTTCTGTGCAGATCCAGTCCGCCATGGCGCTGGCGGACGACATCGCAGACCAGGCGCCCGAGCGACGCGGCAAGCCTAGCTGGTACACGGTGGCGGGCCCGGGGGCCGTGTTCGACGTGCTCCTCGTCGAGCACTGCACCTACCGCCTGCTCAAGAGGCACTTCAGCGGCGACAGATACTCACGCATGATCATGCTCTACGTCAGGGTGAGCGTTTACAGCATCGCACATGAATCACTTTGCTCCCCTACAGGTGAATATATTCACGCACCTGTAGGTGAGCGAATAGATATTCGTACACTAGAAAAGGTAGCCCGTCCAACATCGAAGAGTGTGGATGGTCATTATTCACACGTCTGAGAATTGCGTAACACACCCGTAGGTGTGTGGCTTTTTTTCACTCACACTTCTTTCACTTGTGTTGTAAACATAACATATAATGTATACATTTCTATTTCTCGCTCTCCCCCTTTTTTTAGACAATGTTCCAGCTTTGCTTCGGCCAGAACAACGACATCCACTGCATGGCCGAGGGGAGGGCCAAGTTCGACGAGTTCAGCCTGGAGCGGTACCAAGCGCTGTGCGAGTTCAAGAGTGGCGAGTACACCTTCTACCTCCCCACCGCGACGGCCATGTTCGCAGTAAGATGAACGACGTTTCACAATACTAATTGTGTTCTAGAGACTTTCTTAATTGGAATTTTTTCCGCAGTTGATTGGGATTTTTAGCAAGGTTACACTGGGAAAAGGATAGGACTTGATGTCTTTTAGAGGGTGATAAATTTTAATGGCTTTGGAAAGGCATTGACATTGTGGAGTACATAGAGATGCAAACCTTTGTTCGTTTAAAAGAAATCATATTGGACTAATTCAAGTCACCCAAAGAAAAGATAGTCAAATCCCACGCGTCCAGGCAAAGGCTTATTGTTATACCAGTGGGCCACCACTCCCGTAATCCTCTTAACAGGTGGAAGTGTAAGCCCAATGTAATCCCTAGGCAATCCGTGTAATACTTAACCAATTTTTTAAAAAAATATCACCAAATCTCACCTAATTATCCTAATTAAATGGATTTAGACCCAAAAATTCAACAAAATTCGTGTGTGATCTCCCCTAATTCACGTGCAATCCCCACAAGTTCACGTGTAATCCCTGTAATCACGTATACTGTGTACATCCTGAACTTTTTCGCAGTGTGGCGTGAACGATAAAGACGCGCACGACGCTGCCCGGGATATTAGCTCCGATTTGGGCCTCATTTACCAAATCCAGGTAGAGAAAACTACTTGCGCTAACGAACAGAGCTCGCGAGATGCCTGCTTTGCGATGACTGACCTATCTGTTCCTTCAGGATGACTACCTGGACAGCTACGGAGTTGTAGAACGCATGGGGAAGCCGAGAACTGACATCAAGAATGGCAAATGCACCTGGCTTATTGCCGAGGCAAAGCGGAGAGCTACCCCCGCACAGCTGAAAGCTCTCAAGGTAGAGAAGATGTAGCAACCTTAGAGTCAGGTCTCGTAAGGCAGGGTGGGATTGAAATTGTGAATTCCGTTTCAGGAAAACTACGGCTTCGACGACGAAGAGAAAATAGCTAATATAGCCCAGTTGTACGAGGACCTCGACATGAAACAAGTGTTTCTCGACTATGAGCACAAGTCGTTCCGGGACATCGCCCAAAAAATAGACAAGTATTCTCACGTACTTCCTCGTGTCTTGTACACGTACGTTTTAGAAAGCATCAAGTACCACATCAACCGGTAACCACGACCAAGACAATAAAACATTGTACAGTTCGTATTTTCAGTTTTTTTTTCTCCCCTTCACGACACCTCATTAAACAACTTACTGATAAGTCTTCAGTTCAAGAGTAAAAATACTCAATCAATTTCGCAAGGAACCTTCACATTGCTTAGAAACTGTGGTTTAACTATGGTTCCATTGAGCTTTGGTTGGGCTCGACATCGCTCAGAGAAGTGACTGTTGTTTGGGGATTTTGATTAAATGTGGATCCTTCAATCCACTGGGATCAACAGAAAAAGTAATAATGTAACCGAGGCCGTTGTTGTCACGTTTTCTCTGGAGATGAAATGACGCAATGATGTCACAGCGGCAAGGGGTGTAATCAGAGTGATAAGTCAATTATTTCTTTCGATAAAATGCATAAGATAAATATTGACTACATTTCTATTAAGGCTTATATTATACAAGGCTCAGGGACAAATTTCCTTAAAACCTATGGTTTTAAAGAAGGCGACGTTTATCTCTTTGTGACACTCTAAATGAGAAGCATTTGAATGTGATTGGCCACTTGTTTTTGTACCGTAGTCGCACCGACGACAGAAATCCTTTCCCCGCCACCCGTCTCCGCTAAGCGCGTTCCAAACAGGATGATGCAACACCATGCGTCCCTGTCGTCATGCACGTACCGGCATACGTACATTTGGAGCCGAGACAATGTATCCGGTGGCTTGTGTGTGATCTACCAGACCAGAAATGTACACAGCAGAGGATCAGGATGCTACACGTTTTTGTTGTTTTCTCTCGGCGATCGTGGCCACGAGAATGTTCCGCCAAACAATATGCAAAATAGTTCACCAAGTGTCGTCGTGCAGGCATAGGAGAGCGCGACAGAGTGGAACCGATACTGGACCAACACTGACTTATTTCAGGATTTTTACTCAATCACTCTACGCTTCGCACATGGCGTTATCAAGTTTTTGGAGTGTGTTTGGAAGCGCATTTGGCACGACGCAAATCAGAGCAACTGCCATGTGAAATAGAAAACAGAACCTATCCTTTAATGAGAAAACAAGAAACTTTTGCTGGCACGCCAGCATACCTTAAGTCAATTTTAGCCAGCCAAGTCATTTCAGTCTCATTTAGTCACAAGAAATTCACATTTACCCTGGCAGAGCGGAATACCTCACTTGGAAAAAGTCAGTTTTAGTCACATTTAGTTGTTTCAGTCGCAAATTATTCATACACGCCAGTCTGCCTTTAGTCGATCGCAGTCATTGTTTAGCCAATTGAAGTATTTCTAATCGATTGTCAGTGTACTGTATTTGGGTGGTGTGTGGTACCCCTTTGCTTGGTAGCCCCTGCCACCGGGTAAGGGTAGGCCAACCCGCTATGCACGCGTGTGCTAAACTGGCTGTTGTTGCCTACCCACCAGGCACTACAAGATATATGGTAAGGGGAAAAGCGGAACGAACGGGGCTGTTCGCAAATGCACCATCCCACCCCATCAGTCGACCCCCCTCCCCCTTCCCTCCACCTCCGCCAGAGAGCCTGGGTCACCTTGCCGCCCAAGTGGGGGCCCGGGTGGGGGCCCGCGGGTGGGGGCCCGGGTGGGCCGCTCTGGCGCCTGTCCAGGTCCTCTGTCCAGCTCCAGCCCGACGCGCAGTCTTCTTTCGACTCTCGCCTGCCTTGCACCGTCGCTGCCCCGCACACACACGCACCCCCTATCTCTCTGTTGTTCATTTCCCATGTTGTACTAAAAACTTATGTGTCAATGAGGAAGAAAGTCGTCGCGTTTAATGTCACTGAGAAATTTCTCCCCACTGTTCGGTGAGTACAGAGATGGACATTTTATTAAACTTGGGCCAAACTTCATTGTATAGCTCGCTGCTGCGGGTTTACAACAACAAAAAACGAACTTATACACGTCAAAGTTCAATGTTTCAAGTTGGTCCCAGTTGCAGCCCTCTGCTGCCACTGCCTTTAATGCCAACTTAGAGACAGATGAAGGTATTGAAACGATATCAGACCGGTGTCAATATCGGAATATTGTCTATCTTCTTTGTCTCATCTGTCCTTTTTTTCTTAAAAAAAAGGGTTCTGAGATACCGACACATTTCAAAATATACCAGCATGTCGGCGTCTCGATGGGGAGCTTATTTGGTGTTATTGAAAGCTCGAGAGTGTTGGCAGGGTGTGTTGTCCTGCTGGGCTCTATACGGCGCCAGCCACGCAACACGCCCCCTCTCCCACCTTTCTGGTCTAACCGGCTCGGCTCGTGACAAAAAATAAATGCTCAAATCCAGAGCCAGAAAGAGTGGATCGTGACGTTCAAACTTAAATCTTGTTGTTGTTTTCCGCAGTTTAAATTTTCCGTACGTTCCCGCCTAATTATCGTCGGAACTAATCTCATGTACCTGCTGCCTCTGTTTTTTCTCAGGTTGACCAAAAATTTGAGCACCAAAAAGGGCAGCCGTCGAGGTAACGCAGGAAACCGTCTGGAATTTACAGTGCTAACCCAGCTCCAGCACGTCCCGTAGAGTAAGTACAAATATATTTTTAAAAATGCCTGTGAAAAATTGCCCTTTTCGTACTTTGCACCAAAATTTAAGATAATAAGTTTTAGTCGAAAAGTTTAAAATGTTGACCGAATACGATTCATCAACCACCTGTCGCTCTTCTGTTGGAGCAGTTCGCACGCCCAGCATTCTCCGGACGGTTACTAGTGGTCACATTTACGTTCACACGCTTCACTACCCGTCACCATGGTTCAGGAAGTCCAGAAGTCCAGCTGCTTCGCCGTCCGCGTCAGCGAGACGAGAGACCAGGCTGCCAAGTAAGAACAAACAACCTACCGAAAGAACGTCATTTTAATAATTTAAATTTTCAAGAATAGAAATTCCGAAGGTTAGGAAGTAAGGTACCTAACGGAAAATTTATTAAAAATTCATTTGAACTTTTATTCTTAGAGTACAATCCGCCCACACTCTCCGAAACAGATCATTTAATTTTGTTTTGTGTCTGTCTCCAGGCGCGCGGGGTACGACGCGGTGCGCCGCGCCGAGGCCGAGCGCCAGCAGCGCCAGCAGCTCGAGAAGGAGAAGCAGCAGGCGAAGAAGGATCACGGCTCCTGGGGCCCCGTGTTCAAGAACCGCCAGCACTTTAACTCGCTCCACATGTGCTAGGACACGGCAGCCCCCCGACGCAAAACATTTAAAAAAAAAAAAATATTGTTTGTGTTAAAATAAGAAAAACGATGTTGCGAAAAGGTAAAGCTGCATCGGACGACTTTATTATGATATCTTGTTACAGCCCCAACGACTGAAGTTTTTGTGTTATTTGATTAACTTTTTACATTTGACTGATTCTTTCCTGTGCCATGTGAAACCAGAGATTATTTAATTGTTTTTGAACAAGCTTCTTTCAATGCTAAGGTTTTATGATCCGATTTGAGCGCAAAGAAAATCCTCATAATTTATACAAAAAAAAGGGATTGGTGTAAAAATGTCAAACCGCTTTCGTTGCCTTCAAAATTAAGTCCTTTTCGTGACCTTTTTTTTGCATTCTTTAATTTTGTATTTTAAAATTGTGAATGTGAATGTGACCACTAGTCACGCTGGTTCCCGCCGGGAACCAATAATTATGCTATTGTTAACGTTTATCGCTTTTGGTGTGGGTCACTCTGCTTGTTCGCATTTTGAATTCGAATAAAACATGTTTGAAACTGGAACATATTTTTGGAAAGCCGCGCCCATATCACGTTGTCTCTTGCCCGCGAGGAAGCGGCGACGCGCAGTCGCGTGGAAAATTTCCGGAGCAAAACTTTGCCGCGCAAACGTCACCGGGCGCCCGGGCATTTCCTTTGTTTTGCATAGAAAAACAAAACAAAAAAGAAAAACAAGTTTTCTCGCTCGTCTTCATGGTGACGCGCCTCTCATGTGACGAACGGTTTGATGACCTTCTTCTCCTTGGCCGAGTGCCATCCCCGCCAGCCGCACTCCAGCAGGATGAGCCCGGCGGCGAGCAGGAACCCTGCGGACCACAAGGATAGGCGCGAACTTCACCAACGAGTTGTTGGAGTTCACCCGCACACGAGACATTTTCGAACGAGGTTCGTGAACTTCAATCGATGTTCGTCAAAAGGTTTTTTGTCGATGTCCATCACAGATCACACGAAAGTTCATCGAACCTCTTTCATCAAAGTTCAGTATCAAAAGTTGATGAAAAAAGAGAATATGCTTTTATAAAGTTGGAAAAAAGGCCTTATTTCCGATTGGATACTGCGCTGACGTCAACAGGACGTCAGCGACACTATACTGCGCTCACCACAGTGTCGCAGCATATCATCCAAAACTCTCTGAAACTGGTTTCCAGAGAGTGTGTGTGCTGTTTATAGGGAAGTGGGGCGCGCGCGGGAAGTGACTCCTTTTCTATCTTGCATAGAAAACGCGCGGGGTAAGGGGGAGGGGGACGGGGAGAAGGCGGGAGGTCCCATTTGCGTCATGAGCAGGCCAAGCAGTTTCTGGTGATGTGGCCGCCGACGTGACTAGATGCACGGCCATAAATAAGAGCGCAAGCGCACGCGGAAGAAAATATGGTCATTAACCAATAGATAAATAAGGGGTAACTAGTTGTTTTGCTGGGTAGCTAAGAATTTGACCATGTTTAGCTTAGCTACATAGCTAAATCTCTAGCTAGCCACCTCTTTTTTTTAGAGCTAGGTAGCTAACTTTTTTGCGACATGGCTAAATTAGCAATGGCTAAATAGTTACCTTCTATTTAACTATTATTTGGCTATCTAACCTCTTCCCCGTAGACGCCGACGCGACTAGGCACGGCCATAAAATTAAAACGTGCAGCCGGGACATCTGCACTCACCAAAGAAGAGCACGAAGAAGGAGCCCTGCATGTCGCCCAGGTTGACCGAGTGGTTGTTGGCCTCCACCACCGAGGAGCTCCAGCACCGGTCCTTCTTGGGCAGGTTGTCCTGCAGCCACTTCTCTATCAGCCCCACCTGCTGCATCCGCCTGATCCTGCGCGGACGTATCAAGAAAAATTAGCACTCGTGTAAAAGAAACGCACCCGCCAAATTTAGTTTTAACTACTTATTCGCAGAGTCTGTCGCTCTTACTCCTGGTTAACGATGGGCAGGTAGGGGTTGTCCTGCGCCATGACCATCGCCACGTTCTCCTCCACAAAGTCCTGCACTTTCACTGAAACAGACGCGGGAAGTCGCGTATAATGAACAACACATCGCATATGCTGGGTCTCGCAACATTTTTTTTTCCACTTTATCTTAAACACCCCAAACTGTTTCAATTCTAAATCAAGAACTAAATTTCAATCCCCCCTTCCCCCTCCCCGACAAAAAAAACAAAACAAGAAAAAACACAAGAGAACTAGATGCTATTTATTATTCTCTTTTTTTTTGCGGCTCTTTTCTCTGTAGGGTTGGAAATTTCCCAAACTTTCAGGAAAATATCTGAAAACTTTCCGAAAATACACGGAAAACAACGGAAAACTTTCCAAAATCTGGAAAATTTGTCATTTTTCCCCGGAAATTTTTCAAAAAATTTCCAGAAAATTTTCCGGAAACTTTCCAGGGCTTTCCAACCCTATTTCTATGCGCGGCCTACCGATGGAGAAGTCGCAGCGGCCGCACTCGTTGAAGTCCTTCTTCATAAGCTGCAGCAGGTTCACCTGCCAGTCGATGAGGACGTGCGTGCCGGTGCGCACCCGCGACAGCGCGTCCGCCTCGTCCTCGTGGACCTGGCCCCGCTCCAGCACGAGGGAGAACTGGGGCTCGCTCGCCGTCTGCACGGGGGAGAGAGAGAGAACGGTCATTGGATCGCCCAGCCGGCCGTAAACTTTCCGAGAATATACGGAAAATAAAGGAAAACTTTCCAAAATCTGGGAAAATTTTCATTTTTACCCGGAAATTTTCCGTCTTTTTCAGAAATTTTCCTGAAATTTTCCGGAAACTTTCCAGGGCTTCCAACCCTAGGGGGAGTACAGGCGCCCGGGGGTACACACTGCTGGAGCCTGCCCACCTTGAGGTGGTCGATGAGCGGCGACCCCCGGAAGAAGCCCCAGGACACCTGGTCCCGCTGGGCGATCATGTCCTCGGTGGAGCCGATGGTCTTCTCGAGGCGGGGGAAGGTGAGCGCGGCCACCAGGTTGCCGCAGTAGGTGGTGACGAGCACCAGCACCACCAGCCACCACGTGCCGACGACGAGGCGGCCGCTGTCCGCGTCCGGGAGGTGGGCGCCGCCCTGCTGCAGCAGCGCGCCGTACGCGTACCAGGCGCAGTTGGTGACCGAGTTGAGGCCGCCGCGGCGCCGCACGTCGCCGCGGAACTCGTAGAACGGCGACGCGCGGTGGATCCAGTTGAGCACCGGGCCGATGGCCGCGACCGACAGGAAGATGCACAGCCAGGTCGCCGTTGTGAAGGGCGACGTGAACAGCATGGCCCTGGACAGCTCGCGCGGCCGCACCACCAGCATGCAGTACGGCTGCCTGCTGATGAGCCGGGTGAAGTTGACGAGCCGCTGGCGCTCGGCCGTCACCGAGAGCGCGCCCGCCCCCATGAACACCTGCCCGTCGTGGATCAATATAATTGCGCGTTCAAATCGGAGCAAACAACTTATTCTCGATGATTTACTTAGGGTTGGAAATTTCCCAAATTTTCCGGAAAATTTCCGAAAACTTTCCGAAAATACACGGAAAACAACGGGAAACTTACCAAATTCTGGGGAATTTTTCATTTTCCCCCGGAAATTTTCCGTCTTTTCCAGAAATTTTCCAAAAATTTTCCTGAAGTTTTCCGGAAACTTTCCAGGGCTTCCAACCCTAGATTTACTTCTCGACGGAAGTCGACCAACCTTGTTGTCGCGTACGTTCAGCAGGATCTTGTCCCACGAGATGTTCCGCGAAAACTCGTTGTTCAGTTCGACCGCCTGATCGGCCATCGAGGTATAGAACTCGGTGTCGCCCGTCAAACCGGGTTTGTTGGGATTTGGGAAATACACGGTGTAACTGCAACGAGTAGTAGTGCGGGCTTAAGAAAGATAACACCGGCGAAGATTAATTGTGAAGACTGCTATCCAAGCACTTACGAAAAGTTGAGGTTCTTGGAGAGCTCGTTGATGATCTCAAACACGACGCCCCTGTAGGCGACGACGTACCCGCTACTGTTGGACACTATGACCTGCCAGGGTGGGTTCTGGAACAGGCAGTAGGATGACGATCGGTTATTCATGCCGAGGGGTAGTACTACACTAAATAAAACTTAAGAGTTTAACCCCCCCCCCC